CGGTGAAATCAGGAGCACTCACAGAACATTCCAGAGGAATGCGGGAAACATCCCTTTCCCTACTAGTGACAGGGTGAGAAAGAAAGGAGAGAAGACTCAGCATTCCAGTATATAGTTCTATTTCATGTAAATTACCTTAGTAAAGTACGATGCACTTGGGCTAAAGCCACAGTGAGTCTAGCAACTTCCTTCTCAACTCTGCCCATGGAGGTGACCAGGGACTTCTGATCTCACACTAAGAACTCAGGAGACAACGTGGAGGGCTGGGCTAGGGAAAGGGACTGTGGTCTACGTGTGTGTCAGGGATCTGGGGCTTGGCTTAGCTACTTTCAGACAAGGAAGAACAAGTATCCTGTGAACTTGTCTGTTTTTGAGGGGTGGCATTTCTACTGCAGTTCATGCTGAAAGATCTCAATCTTGTTTTACATCAATTGAAGAGAAAGAACAGACTCCAGCAGAGGATGAGAGGAATGAACGCCCAGGAAGGCCTGCTGTAGCAGGAGGGCCAGCTCGGTTAAGGGGTGAGGAGTCAGTTCAGGTCTGGGAGACAGGTGGGAACAGTGGAAAGGAAAGAGGTTAGTCACAATTGCTTGTTCTCTCCTGTATCTCCCAGGCCCACTGCACCAGAAGCTTGTTTTTGTCAGAAGCTTTATGCTTTACTTTTTTCTCTTCAAAAGGAAAGAAGTAGGACGGTTATGTTATGTTAGGTCAAGGAAGAGGTTTTGAACATAGAGACCGCATTTTTCCTTTTAATATCCTGCCAATCAAGGTGTCACACTAGCTGATGGGTGGGTCCTAACATGTCACAGAAGAAAATCATCACCTTTTAGCTCTACAATGTACATGGTGACATTTATGGGACTAGCATTACCATGGGGGAGAGAATTAAAATGACAAGTCAGGAGGACCTATTAAAAGAAAATATACCTCAAGTATGGTAAAAGTAAGTACTGAGTTCTCAAAGGTATATAGGCTCTACCTTAGCACATCATGTACAATTACAGAAAAACAAGGGAATGAGCATGGAAAATGTGAGCTGGTCAGAGGGGGTGGAGCAAGAGTCCAAGTCCACATGGAATGCTGTGAACACGAAGCGATCTCATCCACTGCAGAGGGCACTGTGAGCTAAGAAGAAACAGAGAATGAAAGTAGAGTAGTATGAAAAGAATCTGAACATTACTATGAGAAAGTGAGGTACATTTTACTAAGCAGCTATTTATGAATTGATTTCCTGATGCATTAGTTATGTGGTTCCCACCATTAAAGTAAACATAGCTGAATATAAGGAAAATAAAGATATTTTAAAGATATTTCAGGAAACAAAATAATGAAATTTGGTAGGGAAGTCATCTGTAATGTTGTATAGAACACAATGAATTATAGCTAATATAAAACTCTAAGGCAGGAAAATAGCATTTGGCTAAGAGAAGGGGCTGAGGAAAGGCGACAGACGATGGCCTCTGAAATACCACAGAAACAGGCTTTTCAAGTTACTATCAATGACTTGGGGTAGGGTGCATAAAAAAAATGATGGCCCAGGATGGTTTGGATCAGTGGGCAGAGCATCGGCCTGCAGACCCAAGGGTCCCAGGTTCGATTCTAGTCAAGGGCACATGCCCAGGTTGTGGGCTCAACCCCCAGTAGGGGGTGCAGGAGGCAGCCGATCAATGATTCTCTCTCATCACTGATGTTTCTATCTATCTTTCCCCTCTTCCTTCCTCTCTGAAATATATATATATATTTTTTAAGGCCTAGCCAGCTTGGCTCAGTGGATAGAGCCGCGGTCTGGGGACCAAAGGGTCCCAGATTCAATTCCGCTCAGAGGCATGTACCTTGGTTGCAGGCTCCCCCGCAACTGGGGCCCTGGTTGGGGCTTGTGCAGGAGGCAACCACTAATGTGTTTCCCTCACCAATATTTCTCTCTCTTTCCCTCTCCCTTCCACTCTCTCTAAAAATCAATGGAAAAATACCCTTGAGTGAAAATTTTAAAAAAAAAATGATGAATGAGTTCTGTTCAAAGAAAAGGAAAATGAGGAGAAACTGTGATCCTGGAATAGCAGAAGCTGTGTATCCCACTTACCGAAGAATGAAGTCAGCTGATCAGTAGGGCATATGTAAAAGTGTCACCAGAGGTGGCAGAAAGACAATAAAATTTACTGTACTACAGTCTTAAAAAAACAATGTTAATAATAGTAGAAATTGGTTAAATTTGGTTACAGAGAAATAATTTTTAATATGCAAATGTAACAAATATATAACTTAAACTACTGAACAGCTCAAATATGACACCATCTGCTAAATGTCAAGGTTATCCATCTGTTAGGCAGTGCAGTTACTGAGGACAATGGCCACCTCCATGTACCTGTAATCCTAAGATACTTAATAGCTTTTTCAGTCAAGCAGTCTTAATGATCTGCCTAGGAAATCCTGGCAAATGCTGCTAATAGTAATATGGCTAACTTGCCTGACTTGATTTGTAAGCATTTATTTACTTGCTAGCCTGTTTGCCAGAAGGACCACGAAGCAGAGAAGTGGTCCCTGAGAGGAGAAGCAGAGGCCATGAATAATCCATCAGCTGGAGCATTAGTACCTGCACAATTAATATTTGACTGTACTGGCAAACCGATTAAACACTCCATAGTTGACAGTACTCTGTCTTCACATACCTTTCAATAGCAAATATTGAAAGTACATAATTACCTATTTAAGAATGTAAATGAGTTACTATCAGAAAGAAATAGGTCACTTGAGACTATTGGGAAGTTAAAACTATGAATTGTTTTTAAAACGAAAAAGAAATAGTGTACACACGAAAGTAAGAGAGCAAGAAATATAGATTAAAATTGATGACTTATAAAAGAGTTTTATAATGAGTGAAGAGGTTACATGGAACAAGTAAAGTAACTTTCCCTTACTCCATAAACAAAAGTGAGAACAAAGAGCAATAGGCTACATTCGGATTTATTTGCCTGTTTTTTTTAACCTTATTTTTTTTAAGCTATGTGACCATTCAAAAAGAAGAAACACTCATTAGAAAGAATATATGCACCCCTATGTTCATAGCAGCGCAATTTACAATAGCTAAGATCTGGAACAACCTAAGTTCCCATTAGCAGATGAATGGATTAAAAAACGGTGGTACATCTACACAATGGAATAATACATAGCAATAAAAAAGAATGAACGCTTATCATGTGCAACAGCATGGATGGACCTGGAGAGTATTATACTGAGCGAAATAAGCCAGTCAGAGAAAGATAAGTATCACAAGATCTCACTCATATGTGGAATCTAATGAACCAAATAAACTGATGATCAAAAACAGACTCAGAATCTAAGAAGCATGAACAGACTGTTGAACCTCGGAGGAAAGGCAGGGGAGGATGGGTGGAGAGAGATCAATAAATGAACTTATATCCATATATGCATAACCCGTGGACACAGACAATGGGGTGGTAAGGGCCTGGTGGGGGGAGGATAGGAGAGGGCTGGAAGAGGTTAATGGGGGAAAAAGGAGGACCTATGTAATACTTTCAACAATAAAGATTAAAAAGAAAAAAAAAAGAACTGAGTAATACAGAAATAAACTGTTGTACTTCCAAAAAAAAAAAAAAAAAAGAACACATTCTCCCTGCATAGAAAGTTTAGACATCTTCAAAGAATGAGAGAACTTAAAAATAAAAGCTTGGCATCTACAAATTCCATATGAATTTTACAAAAATAATAATAGCTTCATCAACTCTGGTTAAAAACTCACTAGCTATGTGCATTTTTCTGTTATTTATCTACACCATATGCCAATAAAAAGTTTTTAAAATTCAGTTGAAATACAAATGAAACTGTCAAAATAAATCCCCCCAAACAAAATGTTTTGGCAGAAATTTCAGAAGAATAGAGGGCAAAGAAAACATTGGAATAATGCTAATGGATAAGAGTGCATTTCATGAGCCCCAAAGAATCCAATAATGTTGGTGATGGGTTTTTGGGACTGAAAAAATAAAACATGAATCCTCATAGTAGCTACAGGTACTTTACCTCAAGGTGACATTACCAAGAAGGAAATGACTTTTAAAAAGCAAAAAACATACAGGAAAACAACCTCCTTCCTCAATACTAGAAAATGAAAGCTTAGTTGTGAGTTCACACTTATGGTAATGATGGTTTTCTTCCCCCAGTTCCTGCAAGAACTATCCCTGGGCCTGGGTCTGCCTGGGTATCTCTAACCCAAGCCCCCAGCAAAGAGCATTCACCTCCCCAGCAAAGAGCATAGACTCAGCACATTTGTGAATTCCATTAATCCTGGTAGCCTGGGTGGAAGCAAGTTTGTTTCTCCTGGTCCTATAAAGATCAGACTGTTCTGTACAGAGAACATTTTGAAGGCTGCCAGAGGGGAGGGTTTTGGAGGGATGGGTGAAAAAGATGAAGGGATAAAGTACAAACTGGTAGTTACAGAATAGTCACAGAGATGTAAAATAAAGTACAGCATATGAAATAGTCAATAATATTGTAATAACCATATATGGTATCAGATGGGTACTTGATTTACCAGGGTGCACCTGAAACTACTATAATACTAACTGAAAAATAAAAAATATATTTTAAAAAAAGATTGGACTGTTCTGGGAATGAATTAATATCCTCTACTCCCACAATAGCCCTACTGTAAGGATGCAGTTGTCTAGATTTTAGTGTGCTGGATACAAGCAAGATACCAGAACAATATAACTGGTTTGCAGACTATATGTACACCTCCAAATCTCCATAGGTTCAAAGATTGCAGGACTTTATCATTTAATCAGTCTTCTCTTTAACAACATTGCACTTTGGGAGTACATTTATCACTAATAACCCTATTCCTACAGTGAATATGAATTTTATCTGGGCTACACTGACGTGAAATAGGTCTCCATCTTTAGATATAACATATAGGTGAGAAAGAAAAATTGACTAGCATTTGTTAGTGCCGATGTTATTTTATTTCAGTCTATATGAACACTTACCTCTTTGACACTGTGTGTTACCGCCCATATTAGAAAAACTCTTGACATTACTTGGAAAGAAGTCAGGACAACAGAAGATGGAACAATTCCTGAAAGAAATTTTAGGATGGATAAATAAATTAAGTTTATTTACTAAGTTTCAACATGAAGTAAATTTTCTAAATAAATTCTCTAAAACCTTATAATTTTAATGTTTGGACACAAAACCAACTTCAAACAGAAACTTATCTTTATTGCTATATAGACTGTTTTTCAATGTAGTAAATATTAAAAACTTTTTCCTCCCTGAAAACAACAATATGCTTAATTACAATAGCAAACCATGGAATCTAGGTATTCTTCTTACGCCTAACCAAGTGAAATATTTTTTACACTTACCATATAGGTACACAAAATAAAACCATTGCTTAACCTTTAAAATTAGACCCTGAAAGTTCATTTATAATATGGGTTTCAAAAATGAATAGGCACCTATAGAAGGAAAATCAACCTGCATATTTGGGGTATATGTCCCACTAATAACCCTATTCCTACAATGAATATGAATTTTAGTGGTAAATATACTCCAATATGTATTTATATCTAATGAATGTTGGAAGCTCCTAAATATCAGACTTGTTATACTATCTAATGGTTATGTTGGTATCTTTTATAATTCACTTGAAGATTTTGCCAACAAGCATAGCAAAATCAAAGTTTATTATCCTTACAAACCATTTCTTCTCACCTTGTTTATTACAGTAAGCATGGGTACAATTATCCTCCCAATGTCCTCAAGTTAAAACACTGGAATCAGACTTAATTATTTTATGTACTCCTCAAGTTCTGCTAAGTTTGCATTTCTTTGGCCTCTCCCTTCAATTTCTATAACCACAATCTCTATCTAGAGACCAGCTACCACCACTGTATAAAATTCTTGCCTCCTTTAGATCATCTTAAACCCAGCAATAAGCCATATCTACTAACATCATTTTCTCTTGTAACTTTACACTGGCAAGGGTTTGCTACTAAAATAAAATCTAAAAGCAGAATTATGGGTATACAATCCAGCAGCCCCCCACCATCTCTGGCTTTACTGTTGCAGTAACTAGACTTACCAACTTCTTAGATCTATTGAGTTGCATGTGGGCCATTTCACACCTGCCAGGAACCTCTCACCATAGTCCCAGATCCTTCTTCCACTTTAAAACTAATCTCATCTTCAACACATTTACTGGGCTATCCCAGACCAATATCAAAACCTCTAAAATGCACTCAGAGTTCTGGACATTTATATAGCTGGACAAACTACAATTTGCCAGAAGACCATGTACAAATCAGACAGAAATATAACTAACTGCCTCTATAGGTTTGGCTATAAAAGGAAATCACTTTATATCTCATTAAGAAAAAGAGATGCTGTAAACTGTTAGAATGAGTTTCTGAAAGAGGATTTGCATTGCTCTGCTCAGCTGTTTAGAGCATTGTCCCAATAAGCCAAGGTTGCAGGTTTGATCACCAATCAGGGCACATGAAGAAGCAACCACTGAATGCGTAAATAAATGGAACAACAAAATGATGTTTCTCTCTCTCTCTCTCTTCTTCTCTCTCCTTAAAGTCAATCAATCAATAGAAAAATATATTTTTAAAAAAGAGGATTTGGGCTCCAAGAGGGATGGTTTGGTTCCCCAAAGCAAAACAAGTAACATGGACATGTCAAGCAATGCTTAGCAAATAAAAATGCTTAATAAATCTTTGTAAAATGAATGAAAGAAAAACATTAATGTATGGACATAAGGTCAATGGCATAAAGTTGGGAATCCAGAATTATAGTTACATGATTTTCAACATGAGTGCTACGACAATTCAATGGGAAAAAATTGTTGTTGTTTTTTTTCCCAACAAATGGTGCTGGGACAATTGGATAGCCCCATGCAAAAGAATGGAGTTAGATCACTTCCTCACACCATATATAAAAATTAACTCAAAATCGATCAAAGTTCTAAATAGAAGAGTTAAAACTATAAAACTGTTGGGAAAAAAGACAGATGTAAATCTTTGTGCCCTTGGATTAAGCAATAGTTTATTAGGCATGAAAGACATAAAAGGCACAAGAAAATATAAATAAATTACACTTCATCAAAATTAAGCTAAAGTGCTTTAAAGGACATCATGAAAGTGAAGAGACAACCTAGAGACAGGAGAAAATATCTGCAAAGGGAAGACTTATATCCAAAATATATAAAGAATTCTTACAAGTTAACAAAAAAAAAGACAAATTATCTAATTTAAAATGTAGGCAAAGATTTGAATAGAGATTTCTCCAAAGAATGCACATGGTCATTAGTCATCAGGGAAATGCAAATGAAAACCATAAATCTACCCTTCACATCCACTAGGATGGCTATGATAAAAAAGACAGATAATAACATGCAAAAGAATGGAGTTAGAACACTTCCTTACACCATATGTAAATATTAATGAGGATATTTTGATATTGGAACCCTCATACGCTGCTGATGGGGTTATAAAAGGGTACAGCCAATCTGGAAAACAGTCTGGCAGTGCCTCAAAGTGTTAAATACAGAATTACCACATGACCCAGCAATTCTACTTGTAGATATATATCCAAGAGAAATGAAAACATAAGTCACACAAAAGTGGAAACAATCAAAATGTCCACCAGATGAATGAATAAATTAAATGTGGTATATCTATACAATAAAACATTAGAAATAAAGTAAATAAAAAGTAATAAATAAGTAAAAAGAAATGAAGTACTGACATATACTACTCTATTGATGAACCTTGAAAACATTATGCTGAAAGAAGCCAGTGACAAAAGACCATATGTTGCATGATTCAATTTATATGAAAGTCCAGAATAGGCAAACTATAGGGATTGAAAGTAGACTACCGGGCCTGGGAGGTTAGGAGGGAAAGGGACTGACTGCCAATGGACATAGGGTTTCTTAACAATAGAGGTAAAGCCTTTGTAATAACTGAATGTTTGGGATTTTAGAGACCCTTTAGCTTCTGCACAGCAAAACAAAAAGGCAAATGGCAAGATTTCATTTTTACTGATGAGTACCACACCTTCTTTATCCATTCATCTATTGATGGGACACCAACGTTGCTTCCATATTTTGGCTATTGTAAAAAATGCTGCAACAAACATAGGTTGGATAAAAGTAAATATATAGTTTTGAGTATGCAAAATAGTTTATTCTTGTATTATTTATTATTGCATTATTTTCCATACAAACAACTGTAAACCTACTTTTGTCCCTCCCTGTATCTTTCTGAGTTAATGGTGTGTGTGTGTGTGTGTGTGTGTGTGTGTTTAAATAAATAGCCAGAAGTGGAATTGCCAGGTCAATTGCTAGTTTTATTTTTAATTTTTAAAGGAATCTCTATACTGTTTTCCATAGTGCCTGCACCAATTCACAATCCCACCAACAGTGCTATAGGGTTCTCTTTTCTCTACATTCTAGACAACACTTGTTATTGATTGACTTTTTTATAACAACCATCTGACAGGTATGAAATGATATTTCATTGTGGTTTTGATTTGCATCTCCCTGATTAGTGATGCTGAGCATCTTTTCACGTGCCTGTTGGCCATTTGCATGTCTTCCTTGGAGAAATGACAATTCATGTCCTCTCCTCATTTTTACTGGTAAATGTTTTTTGATGTTGAGTTGTATGAATTCCTTGTATATTTTGAATATTAACCCGTTGTGAAATATATCATTTGTGACTATCTCCCATTCAGTAACTTGTCTTTTTGTTGTGTTAATGATTTTCTTCACTGTGCAGAAGCTTTTTAGTTTGATGTATTCCAATTGTTTATTTTTGCTCTTGTTTTATTTGCCAGAGAAGACATATCCAAAAAGATACTACTAAGACTGAGGTCAAACCCCGCTGGTGTGACTCAATCAGTGGCTGAGTATCAACCTACGAACCAGGAAATCATGGTTCAATTCCTGGTGAGGGCACATGCCTGGCTTTTGAGCTTGATCAACGATTCTCTGTCACCACTAATGTTTCTATCTCTCCTTTCCTCTCTGAAATAAATAAAAATATATTTTAAAAGACTGAGGTCAAAAAAGTTTACTACCTATATTTTCTTCAATGAATTTTATGGTTTTAGATCTTACATTTAAGTCTTTAAACCATTTTGAGTCTATTTTTTGTATATGGTATAAGTTGCTCAGTTTAAATTTTTTTGGCATGTATTTGTCCAGTTTTTCCAGTACCACTTACTGAAGTGACTATCATTTCTCCATTGTGTATTATTGCTTCCTTTGTCATAAATTAATTGACCATATAAGTGAGAGTTTATTTTCTCGTCTCTCTATTTTGTTTGTTGATCTATGTATCTGGTTTTGTGCCAGTACCATATTGTTCTAATCACAGGTTTGTAATATAGCTTGAAGTCAGGAAGCAGATACATTCAACTTTGTTCTTTCTCAAGATTGCTATAGCTAAACAGGGTCCTTTGTGCTTCCATATAAGTTTTAGGATTTTTGTTCTAGTTCTGAGAAGAATCCCATTGGTATTTTGATGGGGATTGCATCGAATATGTAGATTGCTTTGGATAGCATGAATATTTTAATGATATTAATCCTTACATATATATTTAAATACAGTTTAACTTATATCATTTATACTCTCTGTATTTTGTTTTTCTCAATTAAATTTTAAGAAAATTTTCATCTTAAAACACATTCTTGCCCTAACTGGGGTGGCTTAGTTGGTTGGAGTGTCCTCCCATATACCAAAAGGTTGCAGGTACACTTCCTAGTCAGGTCACATAACTACGTTGCAGGTGTTGTTTTTTAAAAAATATATTATATTGATTGTTTTACAGAGAGGAAGGGAGAGGGATAGTTAGAAACATCGATGAGAGAGAAGCATCGATCAGCTGCCTCCTGCACACCCCCCACTGGGGATGTGCCCGTAACCGAGGTACATGCCCTTGACCGGAATCGAACCTGGGACCCTTCAGTCTGCAGGCCGACGCTCTATCCAGTGAGCCAAACCAGCCAGGGCAGGTTGCAGGTTTTTTGTTGCTGCTAATTACTTAAATTGATTGGTTGGTGATTGCTGCTCCAAAGGTTTCCTTTAACCAGCGGTCGCCAACCTTTTGGACCTCATGGACCAACCACTGGTTTACAGACAATGAAAAGGAGATTCTGCAATTTATCAGCAAGATGAAAATTCACTCAAAAAATTTACTAGTAGGCCTCTATTATTCATTAATTTAATTCAAAAAATATTTTCAGAGTACCTACTTCAAGCCATACCAGATATTGTTCTTCATTTTGAGGATACAACTGTGAAGGAGACAGTGTCCCTGCCCTCAGGAACTTGTACTCTTAGGTTACAACTCATTTGCTTTGGGATAGCTCTTATTTTTAGGACTTTTCCCTCAAGACGGTGCAAGGCTTCTAAACATTTGTAAGTAGAAAATGGCTTGATTACCTATTGGTTTCAGAAAGCTATCTCTGTCAATGGTGCAAATCTTTGACAATGCAAGATTATAACTTGAGAAATAATTATGGGAATTTATGTTAAAAGGGTATTGAACTTTTGAAGTAAAACATTAGCAGATAAAAGAAATACAGGCATGTGTGTGTGTGTGTATGTGTGTAGAAAAAACTGTATAAAGTGGATCTGGCAATTGATTTCTTATTTCCCCAGAACCAGGGTGGTCCGGATTCCCCAAGCAGCTGAGCCCAGCAAAGCAGGGCAGCACTGAAAATCCTCCCTACCCAATGCAGCCCTTAGATGGGCCAGGAGAATAGGGCTGGGAGATTGGCTATCTATGACAAAGACCAGGTTGAAAGTTAGGTATAGGAAAGGCAACAAGGTTGGGAGCAAGAGTAGGAAGTGTCTACAACCAGCGAAGGAGCTCCAACCATCAAACAATACATGGGCAATGGAGACCAAACCAAAATAAGGCAGGAGACACAAAGTTGGTGCCAGAAATTAAATTAAATTAAATGATGACAAGTGAAATCAGAATCTGCCTATCCAAATGCCAGATCTACTAAAAGTAACAAAATTAAATAACAACAAAAATCACCAGCAGCAACCAAAAAGAAATGGGGTACAACTTTATGCCATATATTTTTAAATATGCTAACCATGAAAGGAAAGATTGGACACTTCTTACTCTACCTGCAACCCTAAAAGTGAATCAATCAAATTCTGAGAATTTTCACTAGTAGGACCACATTTGGAGAGAAATATTAATTTCTGACTGAAGTGTGACAAACATGCCTGGAAAGTGATGGGGATGTAGGAAAAGTGACTGAGCAGGTGCCAGTTCATCAACGCCAAGTTTTTCAGGCCCCACACTGAGTTGCAGGACTGGTACAAAGTTCCCTACAGGAATACTTTCTATAGGGTTGAGGAATCCAGGATGGAGGAATTAAATCTCAGAAGAGAAGGAAGAGCTCACATTTTTAAATAATTCATTCACATTGTTCAAAATTTTTATAAAGTATTAAAAGATATTCAGAGAAAGTCTCCCTCCCAAACCCATCTTACTACCCCTCAGGGGCCTTTCCCACATATAACCAATTATTAATTCCTTCTTTCACTCCAAGTTTATATTTTAGCTATATAGCAGCAAATATGTAAGTGAATGTATAAAGGTATATTTATTCACATTTTCCCCAATTTTTACATAATAGCAACATTTTATACACACTGTTCTATTACTTGCTTTTCTTCCCTAAAAAATATCCTGAAGATCTTTTTATATATCAATACATATATATGATGTTTTAATTATTGAAACTTTAGGTTTTAATATCTATGCATTCTTCCAAGCCCTAACCTCAGTGTATAGAATATATAAAAAGGAAAACTCCAATCCTTAAACTCTAGCTCACAGAGGAAAACAATTAAATCTTAAACACTGTGAAAATGCAGCAAGGGAGAATCCAGTAACATTTATATCAGAGCAAATAATATGACTGGACAGGGAAGCTTACACTTTAGGAAGATGAAAAGGAATGGCAACCATACAAACATAATGCAAGAAAAAAAAAATAAAGCATGCATTGCATCTAGGGGAAAGTAAAAAATATATATATATGGGGGTGGAGTCAAATATTAAAGCAACTGGAAAGAAGATAGTAATTATGGAAAACAAAGACAGTCCAACACAGTGATAATTGTTATCCCTAAAGTAGAGAACCTAATACATGGAAAAGTAAATGTATTCAAGGATATAATCCAAGAAATGAAAAAAACTCAATTTGCACTGAAAAAATACACTGTGTTCCAGAAAATGACAAGTGATAGTGAATGTGTAAAACCGAGAAATTTCTTGGTTACAAAAAAATTTCATGGATCCAGACAAAAAAAGCAAGTTACCTACAAAGTGGTAAGAAAATCAGCCTGGCTTCAGACTTCTCCACAGCAACATCCAATGTCAGAAGACAATGAAGCAACACTACAAAGGTCGAAGGGAAAGAAAGTATGTTCAAGAATATTATACCCAGCCAAGACAGCATTCTAATGTAATGGCAAAAGGTAAACATCACTAAATAATGAAAGGGTTTGCCACATAATGCCAATGTGACTGACCTTCTTGAGAGACACATGCTGTCAGAAATTTAGTCAAACAAGAGATAAGTCAAAATAAAGAATTCAGGGATGGAGAAGTCATGATAAAAGGGCCCATAGTAGGCAATGAATCCATTCAAATATATTGATAAAACTTAACAATTACCAACAAGTACAGTAATTATGGTTATAGGACATAGTGTAAGTGTTTATAAGCCACAATAATAAATAGTATGTTTTTTAAAATGGGAGTCAGGGCCCTGGGTGGTGTGGCTCAGTTGTTTGGAGCATTGTCCCGTACATCAAAAAGGTTGCAAGTTTGATTCCCCCTTGGAGCATATACCTAGTTTGAGGGTTTGATCCTGTCGGGGAATGTATGAGAGGGCATGTATGTTTCTCTCTTATATTAATGTTTCTCTCTCCCCTTCTCTCTCTAAAAAATCAATAAACATGTGCTCAGGTTGGGGGGATTAAAAAAAAAAAGGAGTTGAGGAAGAGATATAAGAAGAAGTGACAATACTAATTTCCTTAATAGAATTAAGAGATACTGCCTATAACTAAAATATAGCTAAACATAATTCTAACCTAAATTTTTCATAATCATTTCGTTAAATTTCATGGACGTTTTAGTATATAATATGTATTTCATGGTTAAAAAAAAAGTTTTATAAGTTATTTATTTGTTATTAACTCCATGATTTTAATGAAAAATAGCATGTATAATATGAGCAATAGATCTTGATTCTCCCATCTATCTACTTTTTCTTCCTTATTTAATATATATGTGAAGTGAATGCTCTCTGGAAAGATATTTATCTAACACTAATGAAAACTAGTTCTACTAGTAGAATTTGGAGCCATTTTAAAACGTTACTGTTTACTTTTGCACGCTGCTTGAACTCCTTATAAAAGCATGAATTATAACTTCAAAATTAATAAAATCATTATTCTTAAGAAGACATTAACTATTTGGCATTAGCAAAAATAAAATTCTGAAACTAAACTAATTCTAATTTTAAACAGAAATTTTCTTAAATATTTTCTCATAGCGTACAAGCTTAAACGTAGGGAAGCAGAAAGTATTTCTGGCCAAAATGAAGAGAAGGGTGGGACCACGGATGGGATTCAAGAGAAAAGATTACTGTTTTTTGTTTTTGTTTTTAAAGGAGGGACAGAGGGCAATTCTCTTTTCTTTTTTTCCAAACACAGGAAACTGGCCATACCTCTTGGGGTTGCCAGCACCTGACACCTCCCCCACCAAGAAAATAACTTTTAATACATTTTACATAACCACACTTACTTTACTGCATTCTGACAAGAGAAATGTGTGTCCTATACTGAGAGCAATAGCAAAATTATGGCATTTATCTGATAAGCTCTGCATTTATTTGAGGTTGGCATTTCTAAAAGATGTACTAAATTGTAAGAGGGCACTGCATTTTCTTTGTGCTAAAAAGATAGTGTTACTAAGTGCAATCATGCTTACTGTTTACTAAATTGAAATGGATACTTTAGGAGATAAAGCCAAAGGATGGATATATATACGTATATGGCATGTTCATTGATGTTTCCCTGAAAAAATTTTTTTTGGAGAAATCCATTTTTACACTTAAGCAAAAAAAGGGGGAGACTTCAAATTTATGGCAGGCTATCTCGCTTTTACTCTCAAACCCCTGGGTGTAGAACTATACTCCTCTTAGACATTAGGAAAACTTGAGAAAAGCTGAAAACACAGTAAGATACATATTAAAAATATAAAATAGGAAGTTGGGCATAGGGAAAATAAAGGTAGAAAAATATCTTAAAGCCATGGGAGAAATTAATACCTAAATAGATGAGAGAAGGCCTGTGTACTTGTTTGAGGCAGACTACAAACTTGGCTCTGAGCTCCTTTACAACCAATATACGGAGAGAAAACAATTCAGTTGTATAACTCAGTATACATGAAAGAAACAGAACCAGGTGCTCTATATATTAAATGACTCTGACTATAGTAGTAGTTTCTAGTTTACTGGATGTCCTTAATACAGTTTTTGGGGGTTTTTGTTATTATAGTTGTTTTACCGTTTCCTCTCTGTTTCAGATGGCCAGCTGTCAGCTTGCCCTTCTTCCACTTAAAGTTCTTACATGTAAAAAGTAACAATACATTGATTTCAATGGAGGCCATAGGCCTCTGAATGAAATGAGTTTTTTGCGGGCTTTATCAAATATTCAGAGGCTTTTAATTTGTTTACTTTTGGGGCCTCCACTCTTTAAGAATAAAGTTACTGAAAGTCTAATCTCTGAATGAGAGCAAAATACAGGCATGAGAGAAATGATGTATTCCCAACCTTTCTGAAGATAACATAAAAGTTGTCACATTTTGTTTTTGTTTTGTTTTTTTTAATATATTTTATTGATTTTTTACAGAGAGGAAAGGAGAGGAATAGACAGCCAGAAACATCGATGAGAGAGAAACATCAATCAGCTGCCTCCTGCACACCCCCTACTGGGGATGTGCCCGCAACCAAGGTACATGCCCTTGACCGGAATCGAACCTGGGGCCCTTGAGTCTGCAGGCCGATGCTCTATCCACTGAACCAAACCAGTTAGGGCAGTTGTCACATTTTGAAAAAAAAAAAAATATTAGAAACTATTCTCTAAAGATGACACATGAGTCAATTATAAGTCATGGAAACTCACTCAAACCTGCATATTGTAGTTAGCATTCCAATAGCTAATTTGCCAACCAATTATTTTTATTGATCATAGAACTCCAGGCGTTAGATCAGACTGCTTATAGCAGCCTTGAAATGATGGTTCAATATATATTTCACCAGCAAGACTACATTGTAAGTTTTTCTTAAAAAGAAAAAAAAAAGAATTTAGTAAAACAGTTGGCCAAATAAAACTGATAGTTGAGCTCATATTTATAGCCACATTTTGCTAACTTACGTTAACAATCCCTAAGTACCCTGAATACTGAACAAAAAAAACAAAACATTTTACTAGTATTTCTACTTTAAAACTTTATTAAATTTTGTCTCAATATGCTTCTGAACATTCTTATATGTAAAGCTTTTTCAGAAGGCTGAACCCAGTTCAATGGTCACTTGAAATAATACAAGATGTAATGACAAGAGAATAGTCATTCCCTTATGACTTGAAAAAAAACAACAATCACAGGATTTCACTTAAGCAAACCAAAAAGTATACTTTTACCAAACCATATTCTTTCTCAAAGCTCTACCAAACCACGTGGATAGGTAAGGAAAACTGAAGAAGATGAAGTTTAACTTTACTAGAAGGTTGTTAAAGGTTTCCATGAGAAAGATTCTAATCTAAAATAGCAAGGAACCACAAGGGTTACTTAAATATGCTGATCTTTAGCTAAGAAAATCTTAGCTGTCAGAGCTAGAAAGGATCTAATAGTTCAAGTTCAACCCAGTACCTGATAGATGAGGAAAGTGAGGCCCGGAGAGGTAAAGTGACTTGCCAAGGTTACATAGATAGCTGAATAAAACAGATTAATATTTATGATTAAAATCTGGTGGTAACTCTCAAAGAAGGTTAATTATTGGTCAATGTATAACTAGAACAGAATTAAAATATATAAAACCAATGTCAAAGGTTAACATTCAAAGTACCTAAGAACACAATTATTTTTGTCTTTAAAAAATCAAGACCCTGCACAGCAAGCGTGGCTCAGTGGTTGAGTGTCGACCCATGAACCTGGAGGTCACGGTTCAATTCCCGGTAGCCACTCTGATTATAACAAAGTAAAGACTGTATATGCAAAGTAAAAACTGTATATGCAGGCCTGAAAAGAAACACAGAAAAACAAAACTGTTGACTAGAATTGCAAAATTTAAGGGCATTTTTTCCTTTTCATTAAATGAATTCCGTTGTTATATTCATAATGCTATTTGTCCAATAAATAATGTTAAAGTGGCATTTAAATGAAAAACAGTATTTTTCACTTTTTCTGTTACCCAAACTTGTAGAAATGCCTACCTACTTAATCCTTGAGCCAGTAATCAAGGCACCAAGAACCATTTGAGGGCAACTTGACTCTTACTGTAGGTAAGAGATCTAAGAAGGATAAAAGAAAGGTCTACCGAGGGCTGCTCATATAATAGGTGTTAAAAATGCAATGACTGCCCAGCTCTATTTTCCCATCCCTGCACTAATGCAGGGGTAGAGACAGTGGTGGCATTCACTGAGTAGGAGGCCAGCAGAACATGGAAAGAGCCTGTTGACAGCGATAAAAGACACACACTGAAAACACTGCTTGCAGAAGGAGTGAAGCTTGTCAAAGTATTGCAGAGGCTGAGAAAGTGAAGAAAAGAGAAAGAGCAATTATAACCTGTACCTAACAATTCCTCAGCTAAATTTAACTAGAGAGGTGGAATATATCTGCAGCTTAAAAATGATAGGCAAGTGAATGCTCAGGTACAAAAAGACCCAAACCTACACAGAATTTTAAATGGTCATTGTAAAAAAATTTCTATTTTCATATCAATCATCTGCTATTATTCTGATATTTCAATTGTGAGCCCCCAAAATAAATAAATGGCCTCAAGGAGGAATACGGAATTCCTAGGCTCAGAGCAAAAGCTTTATTCTTATTACAAGATAAATCCAAATCAGTAAGAATTTATTAATGCCTAACTTTTCCAGAAACACTTTAAAATGTTTCAGCTATGAATAATGACATTAAACAGTAACCTTTATTTATCTTTTGAAGGCTGAAATAGTTATTTATCCAAAATTTCCCAAATTTTTATGTCAAGCGATATCTCAGTTCATATACGTATTCACACTGAATTATGTTCACAAATAATTCCAAAATCTATTACCTAAATCCTAAAATACATTATCCTAAAATACAAGTACTTTGTATGCATAGAAATGTATATCTAGGAAACCAAGATGGCGGCATAGGTAAACACCGGAGTTTGCTGCCTCGAACAACCACTTCAAAAATACAACTAAAAGACGGAATGGACATCATCCAGAACCACAGGAAGGCTGGCTGAGTGGAAATTCTACAACTAGAAGGAAAGAGAAAAGCATACCGAGACTCAGAGGAGGCGCAGTGTGGAAGTAAAATACTAAGGTACAGAGGCGCACACGGAGCGGGCTGGCGGCTAAGGGCACGGTTGTCGTTTTCAATCGGGAGGGAGTCTCAGGCTCTGAGCTTCAGTTCTGTGCGAGTCTCTGGGGACCCAGACTCATAGGGGAGAAGCGGGACTGTCTGGCATCGGTCGGAACTCGAGGGCAGCTTTCTCTCGGAGGGGCTTGCAGCGATTACCGGGACATAGAGAAGCGGAGCCTCTGAGAGCAGCCATAACTGCTAGCCCTGCCCTGTTGATCCCGTGGGACAAGCCCCGCCCAAGCCCTCCAAGGAGGCTTTTGCTGGATTGCCTAAGGCAGAGGCTAGATCAGCACCTCCCTAGAGATCCAGGAGCCAATGTACCCAGAGGTCAGAGTGGGACCATCCAGTTTGCAGCTCCATGGAACCATAAAGGACACACTCAGGGGGCAGACTCAGTGAGCACCAAAGCCCCATTGAAGCAAGTTTTGCCCCGGAGGCATGTCTCCAGCACAGAAGTTCTCCCACTGCAGATACAGCTGATTCTCACAGCCAATTGGCCTGGAGGTCAATTCCTCCCAGTGATACCTACAACAATCAAGGCTTAACTACAACAAGAAAGCCCACAAGGGGGTGCACCAAGAGTGTCCACCTCAGGTAATTGGGGAGGCTGAACCACTGGGCCCTAGTGGACACTTAGCACAGAAAACCACTTTATCAACACAGGGAAGCATAAAAAATGCGAGACAAAGAAACAGGACACAAATGACAGAAATGGAGGAAAGCAAACTACAGGATATAGAGTTCAAAACCACACTTTTAAGGTTTTTCAAGAATTTTCTAGAAACTGCCGATAAACTTAATGAGACCTACAAGAAATCTAATGAGACCCTCGAGGTTGTGATAAAGGACCAACTAGAAATTAAGCATACACTGACTGAAATAAAGAACATTATACAGACTCCCAACAGCAGACCAGAGGATCGCAGGAATCAAGTCAACGATTTGAAATACGAAGAAGCAAAAAACCGGAAAAGCAAAATGAAAAAAGAATCCAAAAATACGAAGATAGTGTAAGCAGCCTCTGGGACAGCTTCAAGCGTACCAACATCCGAATTATAGAGGTGCCAGACAAAGAGAGAGAGCAAGATATTGAAAACCTATTTGAAGAAATAATGACAGAAAACTCCCCCTACCTGGTGAAAGAAATAGACCTACAGGTCCAGGAAGCGCAGAGAACCCCAAACAAAAGGAATCCAAAGAGGACCACACCAAGACACATCATAATTAAAATGCCAAGAGCAAAAGACAAAGAGAGAATCTTAAAAGCAGCAAGAGAAAAACAGTCAGTTACCTACAAGGGAGTACCCATAGGACTGTCAGCTGATTTCTCAACAGAAACTTTGCAGGCCAGATGGGAGTGGCAAGAAATATTCAAAGTGATGAATGCCAAGAACCTACAACCAAGATTACTTTATCCAGCAAAGCTATCATTCAGAACTGAAGGTCAGATAAAGGGCTTCACAGATAAGAAAAGCTAAAGGAGGAGTTCATCACCACCAAACCAGTATTATATGAAATGCTGAAAGGTATCCTTTAAGAAGAGGAAGAAGAAGAAAAAGGTAAAGATACAAATTATGAACAATAAATACACATCTATCAACAAGTGAATCTGAAAATCAAGTGAATAATCTGATAAACAGAATGAACTGGTGATTATAATAGAATCAGGGGCATAGAAAGGGAGTGGACTGACTATTCTTGGGGAGAAAGGGGTGAGGGGGATGCGGGAAGAGACTGGACAAAAATTGTGCACCTATGGATGAGGACAGTGGGTGGGGAATGAGGGAGGAGGGTGGGGTGGGAACTGGGTGGAGGGGAGTTATGGGTGGAAAAAAGAGGAACAAATGTAATAATCTGAACAATAAAGATTTAACTAATTAAAAAAAAAAGAAATGTATAGCTAAGATGGTAATAATAATTATTATCTGGTTAATTAGATTACTTCCTTCTTTTTCTTTCAGTATTAGCTGAATTTCTTTTGAACAATGTGTTACTTTTACATAAAAATAAGGTTACTTTAGAAAATAATGCCTTTTCACTTAAAAAAACCTCACCATAACTTTATTTAATATTGTAAATTCTGTTAAAAGTAAAATAGATACAATTACAATTAATGTGTAGCTGTTTTCACACAGCTGATTTACAATCATTTTAGCAAAAATAAAATCACATATAATAAAAAAGCCACATTGAAAACTTATGAGAAGTTTTTTAAGAGTTTACTTATTCAAGTATAGCTTTTGTAAGAGTTTATTTATTCAAATACCCCTATTCTAATGAAGACTTTGCTGAGAGGAGAAGACCATGTAGAAGGTCATTACTGAGATTTACATGACCATGTATATTACCTACGGATATACCAATTGATAGTTTTGCTGCTCAAATCCAACTTAAAAAATGGAAAGCAGCTTGATTATTCACATCAAGTACTATAATCTCACTATCTTCTTTTTCCAAGTAGATGTACTACTCATGGATTGCTCAATAGGCTGAGACTTCAGCAACCATTCAAATCTTTTGTGCAGCCAATACTATTTGTTTATTCACTGAGCATTCTCCCTCTCTCTTTTATTTTTTACATATTGATTTTAGAGAGGATGGAAGAGAGAAACACTGATGTAAAAGAGAAACATCAATTGGCCGCCTCCTGCATCGCCCCCCCTCCCCCCACCTCCACCCCCAACGGGCCGAACCCACAGCCTGGGTACGTGCCCTGACTGGGAATCAAACAGAAACCCTTCGGTGCACCAGATGGCACTCTAACCAACTGAGCCGCACCAGCCAGGGCCATTCTCTCTCTTAGATTCCTTGCTAACAGAACACATCTTATTTGGGGTATGGTACACCCCAATAAAACACTAGCTTCTTTGGAATCCCTTAGAATTGGAGGAAGCAATGTGGCACAGTTCTGATCATGAAAAAAACAAAGTGAGTTTATGGAAAGCCCTGCCTGTGCAGCCACTTTCCACCTGGAATGTGACATGATACCACACAATTCATCATAGCCATCTTGTAACTATGGGGTCACATGCACCAAGACAGAAGTCACACACTAGTGATGGTAGGGCAGAAAGACAGACTTCTTATATGGGAAAAGGAAACCCTTATTTGATTAATGCACAGTAGTCAGAATCCTGACATGTACAATGTAATCCTACTTACACACTCTTTCTTTTACAGTTGAGAAGATGAACCCAAAATGTGAAGGGAATTTGGGTGACTTAAGAGGAACAAAGTATATCAGAATGCAGAACTAGGTAACACATTTTATTTTTTTTAATGTTTTTATTGATTTTTAGAGAGAGAGGAAGGGAGAGGGAGAAATAGAAACATAAATGATGAGAGAGAATCACTGATCAATTGCCTCCTGCACACTCCCCACTGAGGATGGGGGATTGAGCCCCAAACCTGGGGCATGTGCCCTGACCAGGAATCGAACCTGTGACCTCTTGGTTCCTGGGTTGACGCTCAACTGCTGAGCCACACCAGCCAGGCTAGGCAACACTTTTTAAAAGAAGCTATTTCAATTATCCTTTGCAGCCACAAAGACTAATGGCATAAATGAAGAAAGAATATGGTGGAAATTTGTTGTAACAATTCCTTTGGTTCACAATTTTTTGAATCACCTATGAAAGTTCATATTTCTAAAAAAAATTTTTAAAAAATCACTAGTATATTATGTCCAAAACCAAACACACAAAAATCTTCTATCTGCTTTCTTTTGCAAGTTTGA